CCTGGTGCAAACATATGGAAGGAATCTGTTCCACACTGCATTTGTCTTTTGCCGAAGCTCAGACTCTGGCGCAGGATCGGTAACGTTGGAAGCACTGTCTGACGGGTCTGCCTCGGCGACCCGAAAGGAGAAGCGGCGATGGAAGATGAAGGTTTTCTTGTCTTCCGTACTGCTAGGTATGATGTAGGAAGAAATATTCATTTTCGCTCGTCCGCAACATGATATTGGTGTGAACTTAAATTTTCGCCGATTTTATATTACTGACATAGCAACGATAGTAGATATTAATAGTTTTTGATCCTGCTCTGACGGACCCTGTGCTTGTTTTGGAGGAAAAAGTCACATTGCATACATACCTTCCGAACAACTTCCAAATATGCAGCTCATAATCGCTTACCGTAAGTCTGATTTGTTTGGGCAGTGCGTTAAATTTGTTGTTTGTTTATTTTTGAGGTGGTAAAAGAAGAAAAATCGATATACCAGTCGAAAAATCACCGGATTTAACCATAATGGATCTTAAAAAGACTATTTCGGAGGTGACTGATTGCCCTGCTGAGCATCAGAACCTAATTTACAATGGTAATATTTTATACCGTATTATTCATTTTACACATTGTATCAGCTTTTGTTTTTCTTTGCGAAATTCTTGTATTTTTGCGGGGACGGTGGCAATGTGGGTTTTAGTAGTATGTTTGCGAAGACTATGGAGTGCATGATGTTCTGGTGTGGTTATGGCAGATCGTACCAGATATGCGACTTGGCTGTCTGATACATTTTAAAAAATGGGAGTAAATCAGACTTAATCCCGCACCCTACATAGAGTCAGAAAAATAAGTCATTTGGTTTTGGTCATCAACAACACCAGCTACTAACCAAGTAATGTCGTTTACAGCAATACAGGGTAACTTAGAGAACAAGCTTTAAATAAAATCTGTTATACGCTGGGTATCTCTCTGACACGAGATCAATCAATTGCGAGTCACGCGAGTAATTTAGCTAGTCAAATACAGCAATGTACAAAAGATCTATAGTAACTACAGTAATCTTCATTCAGCAAATTGACTGATTTATGGTACTTTTAGTTCCTGCATTTCTCTTGTCCTTTTCTTCCTTCTTTTTATCTTCATTTTAGTCCCAACCTCAGTTCGTATTCTCTTTGTTTAATATGGGCCTGCTGCTCACGTCACTTTTTCTTTGATCTTCTCCGTCTTTCCTGACGATATTAATATGTGAACCGCAGTTACTACATACTCGTATCTCTCTGAATCTATTCTGAATGAAGCCCTTTTGACGGACACTGCCGCTACGGACATACATTCACCGAAATATTCGCATTGCTATGGAATTAATTTGTTTGCTGGCCTTTCGTCATGTTCGATAACATCCCGCTTCGTACACAATTGTTGTGGCATTGTTACCAATGACAAATGAATAATGATCTTGAACGTCAAAACACGTTGTTTCCAACTGATTTTGTTTGCAGGACGATTTCGATACTTGGATTCTGAAAAACTCTCTTCACTGAACTTTAAGAAGGATTCAATGGTTATGGTGTTGTCGTCGAAGGTATGCCCACACAACCGCTTGTATATGTAAACTTAAATGTCGTATGTTATGGAACAGAAGAATGACAACGATGAAAACTCAAAATTATTGTACAACATCGAAACGATGAAAGTGGCATCTTTGCGCGAGAAACTGTTGCATATCGAATCTGACATCGCCGAGCTGGGAAAGGTAACTAGACAGTTATATATAGTATATATATAGTGGCAATTGGCAGGTTCCATTGCAATAAAAAACGACCATAGACTCTCTGAACCACAGAGACCTTGAAATGGGTTCTGAGAGTACACGGCTTGTATAGGCCTCCAGATCAATGTTAACTCGTCATAGCTGATTAACTGCGTGATTCATTGTCACCTGCTGAGAGTGGTTTATAATTTTTGACTGTTTGAACTTGTCCAATGGTTTTGAAACGACTTTTGTCTTTAGAATAAATCGAAAGACAGTTTGTCAACAAAAGCATGCAATATTGTGGAAAAGAAACTGAAGGCGGTCTCTGAAGACTGCATGAAAATGTTGGAAGCAATGGACGCTATGGAACTCGGTGACGACCAGATGATGGAAGCTCGTCGAAAGAGGAAAAGGCTCGTTACCACTGTTCAGGCAATGTTCTTTTCCGAGGTTGCGCTCTAAGTTTGTGAATCGGTGATATGCGGTTAAAGTTAGCGTGTTTGTAAAAGTTTTGCAGCAGCTCGAAAATTTGCTGTAATACGAATGTAACAATGTACACCACATATAGCGGTACGGGGTTACATCCCAATACAATATCCACAATGAATGATGCAAACTACTCACCATCACGTGTCAATCATGAATCACTATTTGCAACGCCGCACTTGCCATTTTATACTTTTTGTGGGTTCGAGGGGTCAATCCGCTTGTACTACCGCAGTCCTTGACATATGGCGTTGTCATGGCAGAACTATGCCTTTCAACTGGTAATAAGCGAGTACTTGAAGTGATCCGTATCATACATCAGCTTGCGATTAAATGCAAGGCTCTGTAATGGTTGACCCATTACCTTTGGACTCTGCGTGCTGAGATGTAGTATGGCAGCGGTCGATTCATGGTTGGATAGAAAACTACTGCGAGTAGAAAGGCGTTTATAGCCGGATACATTTGTTTTCATGGAGCTTTAAGTTCGATATCTTCTTTGTTTAATCCCACGTTAAGTAATCCTGATTTGTATTACTCCTGATCTTATGCATTTGCACTGAAACGCACTGTATCATTGCACTATTTAGCGGTTATTCTTAGGGCCTAAGTTCATTGTTAGTGAAAGTTGGCGTGGTAAGTGATTCTCTTTACTAAATAAGTTAGTTTTTAGGAACTGCTCAACGAACACGATGACTTAGTGGCAAAACTGCGAGAAGTCATTCAACAGTGAACGAAAATGATTCACACAGATTCAACTTTAAAAGTTCCTGCCTTGCAATTGCTATTCGTTTTTAATCATATGACAACTGTGCGATGTGCAGTGTTTTTGTAGAACTTTTTTTGCAGATACATTTAACTGGTTGAAAAATAATGACAACAATAAAAACGGATCAAATCTGACTGCATTTCAGATCCTTTTCTTATACAAGAGATTTTAGTAGATCCACGCTGTTGCTAAAGAAAAACCAAATTAATGAGAAAAAGGCTAAAGAACTAAAAACGGTGATTTCCAACTATTTTCAGTTTACCTTTCTTAGGGTCCCGTTTAGTAGTATGAGTATTTAAGAATAAAATGCACAGAAGGTGTGATCGATAGGAACGGTTAGAATAAAACCACCAATCAGACAATGTGTGTGTGCTAAAAGTTTTATTCAAATATCAAGTCTATAGAGAAGAACTGGGTAGATCGCCTGTATTAATCCAAAGCAATGCCTGAAATTCTACCTCCCCTAGCAATAGAAATTTTTGGACTGCCACGAAGGCCCTAACTCGGTTCGTTGTCGCATGTAGTAGCTGATCACCCGTCCTTATGACATTCCTAAGAAGATCGTAAGACTAAAAGAAGGACTACAAATACGTGTATAGGAAGGTCGTGCGGAATAGATAGTGAAGACGTCTGATTTGAGTGCGTCATGACAGCGTAACGATGAACAACCGATGTCGATATAACGCAAATATCGAAAAGCTTACCTGCCCATAAATTTCAGTGGAAATGCATAGGGGCCGGTGGCCGGCAGTCGATTTAAAATATGCCTGACAAGCTGACGCACATCCGCTGAATTATGCCTCTAAAAAGCAACAGCGATTAACCTAGAAGCATCAGGCACAAAACGCAGAAAAATTCGTACCAGCAGCGGCTGCAGCTCAGAAAGGGTAGAACTGAGAGCATTGCAGTGTTCTAAATCGTTGACGTCGGGGTCAAAATTTCCGCTGCCAAACTCTTCATCGTCGATCAGAAATTCTAGCTTAGGGTGAGACTAAAAAAAACAGTATTTTACGCATTTTCGCAGGATCGGACTTATATGCTTTTAGCCCGCAGTCAATTGCGCGGTTGTCGGTAGGGTTGACAAGAGGCGCGTGGATTCCTACTTTCTTCATTATTTTTCCCTCTAACCATTACTACAGTAGGTCGAGGGGTTAGTTAAGACGTAAGTTAAACGAAAAGTTTTGTTTGTGCTTTAGTCTAAGACGAAATGTTGAAGCAAACTTCGATATCTAACTTGACGAACTTCTGCAAAAGCACTGAAATGCCACCAGCCATTGTCCGTTTGTTAAGTGCATGCTCTCACTGCTGTAAAGGATAGGTGACTGCTGCTGTTCGAATATCTGCCCTTTAACGCGAATTTGTTGCACACAGACATCGTATCTATTTCTAACTTATATTAATACGGAACTGAGTTAAAAATAGTAGAGAAAGTATACATGCTTACTGATATCTGCTTGCTAAGCCTCGACGATCGTCCAGTTTCAAACTGTTTATAAAAATATTTAAAACGTTGCATCTTAAGGATCATAGGATAGCAAAACAAGTAGATGGAATGGACAAGAATACAAGCATGGGTCTTTGAATTAACTTTTGAAACAAGGAAATCGATATGGCGGTTCTCTGGGCCACAAAAGTGCTTAACTAGATTTAAGTAAAAACTCAAAGGCGAGGGCCATAAACTAAAGACCGGGGCTCAGCGCCAATATGACTAAAAAAAACATACTCCGGAGCTGCGCGATAATATTTCAGCTCGACATAAAAAAACATACTCAGGGCGTTGCCCACTTTCCAAGAAGGCGGGTTTTGAAGAGAAACAAAATGCAATGTTATCGAAAATTAATGCTTGCACTAAGTGTTTTTCTTAGTGTTTCCATAGACCAGGGCTGCTCAGTCGGTCGATCGTCAGACTCAAAATCGAGAGGTCCCTGTTGTTAATCCCGGGTTGGTCACTTCTTCTTTCTTACGAGATTAATAAATGAATACCACTCTATGGGAAGGTAGGCTGCACCCTATAATTGGCACAAAGCTGCTGTCGACTCTGCTTTAAAATAAGGCACTTCTGGCTGATGACATGGAAATGACAGCTCCCCTATCATTAACTTAAAGAAAAGATAGGGCAACAGATTAGCCCAAACATGAAAATCTTTAAAAACTTCTGCTTTTCTCAGAACAAGTAAAGACTCAATGCTTCGTGCGTCACATACAATTAATTACGCTATTATGCTATTTCGAATGCTCTTTTGGATACTGGCGTTCTTAACATAAGTGATATGGATCGAACCCCTGAAAACAGCCAGAAAACTGACCTTGAAGTCTTTATTTCACAACTGGTGTTGCGGCCAAAGAATGTTGGTCAATTCAGATCAGACAGCAAGAAACTGTCATGTTTAAAGTTTTACAGGTGTTGCTGTACGTTGTAACTGCAACTGCGTTTTGTAACTGTCAGTTTTTGGAGCCACTCATTTGGCATGCGTTACCTCTCTATTTGGCCGAAATGTTAGCCCTAAAATAAAGATTTACATTAGTTTCTATAACCTTGAATCCACATGACTCATCTCCTGTCAGTTCTCCGGTTTCATATGGCATAGTCGAGGCAGAATCTTTACTTCTACTAGAACAGGGAACCGTTTATGACTCCGCGAATATTAGCACCTGCATGTATGGTGGGTGATGGGCCAAAAAATACCCTGTTAGAACACCAACAATTACACGTCAATCCGTAGGCATGCATAATAAAATTAACCCTGTTATTACGGCCATACTAGTAAACTGCTAGTTTTCGACACTGCCGAAAAGTTCTATCGCTTCTCCGGATTCACACGCATACATCTATTGGTGTTTGAACAGGTTATTGTTCGACAGAACAAAGAGGTTCAGTTTTTGACCTATTTGGTAAAATACCACATACTGGCTGCCTATAGGGTTTGCTATGCTACTAGAAGCAAGAGGATGGTGCAACCACGTCCTGTGAATGATACGGAGAAGTGACAGGAAACTGCCATTCTTGCCAACGTTATCGAAAACTAGCAATCTGCTAGTAATCTCACAATACCGCAGTTAATTTTTATGACATGACTTGTAATGATGAGTAACGTTTCCATAATTTGACAGTCCAGCGTTAGACCGAAATGTTAACTGTAAATAAAGACAAATACCAGTTCGACTTCTGCGTGCATGTGTTTATAGCCAAAATGCTAACAATTCAGTTTCAGAATGAGTTAATAAAATTCTCCATGTCAGTTGAACAAATAGCAACAACAGGAAGACTTACCTGGAAATAACTGCATATGGCTATGAGAGTTGCCGTAAGTACTGGATTTTCCATTGTTGTCAGGTAATTTGCCAGGCGCTTTACAAATCCGGCAACGCGGTTCAACGGTATCTTAACATGTACTTGCATTCAGAAGAAGCAAAAAACATATATTAACAGTACGTTTTTCTTCTGTTGGTTGATTATCATGTCCAGGCAGTCCAAACAAACTTGATATTGCTTCAGAAACACTTCTAAACATATAAGACGCAAACAAACGTAAGTGCACAAAATATGGCCACATGTCATCAAGGAAGAAGTTATAGGTATTTACTGAAATTGCACAGGACACCTCAGCCAGATGAACTCACACTTATGCCAGCCTAAAAATTTTTTTTACATAAGTCGTGTGCGTTGCATAAGACGTAATGCACAAACGCAGTAGCTTATCAGCATGTGAGGAAATCAGCCTCACTTGAAATTGCTGCTCATTTTCATGCGGTATTATGCAGGTAGCCACTTGTTTCTAGTTCGGACATCAGGACTGATACAGATATTCATCTTGGCATTGCCCGATATTTCCTTTCGAAATGATAATGCAGCAGTAATATAAAGTGCCGTAACTGTTGTGCACCATTAGCTGTAACTGGCTCAACTGGAATGACATCGGAACTGCATCATTCCAGTTGAGTTCCTTAACAGTTGTTCTATCTTTGAGCAAAATGGCAGAAATTCTCCGTCTTCGACCAGTGCAACAGCACAAAATCAAATGACTCTTTGCATACTGTCGCGTACTCCTCCTTCCATCTGCTACACTTTTGGTGTTTGTTGGTCAGTAGGAACTCGGTCACCGATTTCAGCACGCAGAGGCAAGGAACAAAGCCCGCCATCAATGTTTCCAACGTCAGAGATAACTATACCCTGGTCATTTAAGGATTTCTCATTAGCCCTTGAGGACAACCCTTGAACTGTGTGATTGATTGCTCAGTATCGGCTCGTATTTCAGATTTTCATTTCTGGTCGTTCCCTTTCTTCACGTCTAATGCTCCATCTGAAATCCATTTCTGCCAGTGGGAGCGTTTCTTTCAAAGAAAGATCCTTGACCACATTTAACATTACCGCTTGCAGAACCGCTCACGTATATTTCCGAGATGATGGCTATTTGCGGACTGCGACAGCCTGGATAGCTTTTATATGGTAAGAAGATAGCAAAAATGACTGGTCATTACTTTATACAATGATATATATTATCAATCAATAATATAAACTATAATTTGTCTTTTGGGTCTAAATCTGTTCTTTATATAGCCTGAGCAAAATCGTAACTGAACGAAATCGGTCGTGTCTATGAAGGGTAACGTTGCTGCCGTTGTTGTACTTATATCGCCACCGGAAGCTTGGTAGGATC